TCCCCCTTCCCCCCCCCCCCCGGTCTCATACCCTGAGAGAAGCATCAGGGCCGATGCCCCGAGAACAGCTCTGGAGAGGGCGAAGCAGGCCACCATTGGAAAGGGGACTGGGGCCAGGGCAGGGCAGAGCAATCAAGTCAGGAACAGGCCTACAGAGGCTCCCACTCTCCTCGGCCCAATCTCAGGGCCCTCCCCAGGAAAGTTCACGCTTTCAACTCGGAACAAGGCCAAAAGACAGCACTTGACCAGCAAGGCCTGCCGAATGTACTGAATCGGGAGCTGCCCCTGGTGGGTAACCCCTGTGAGGGGGAGGCACGCTCGAAGAAGCCATCCTGAACGTGAGACCATTCAAATTGTGTCCCGCATGGAACACTGCTGAGCAGTCGGGTGAGAACAGATAAAAGGAAGTCCTTCTTCACCCAAAGAGTGATTCACACATGGAATTCACTGCCACAGGAAGTGGTGGCGGATACAAGCATGGACGGCTTCAAAAGGGAATTAGATAAGCATATGGAGCAGAGGTCCATCAGTGGCTCTTAGCCAGAAGGTATAGATAGGGACTCTGGGGCAAGGGATGCCCTGTATTCTTGGTGCTTGGGGGGGGCAGCAGCAGGGGGGGGCTCCTAGTGTCCTGGCCCCACTGCTGGACCTTCTGAGGGCACCTGGTCTTTTTGGCCACTGTGTGACACAGAGTGTTGGACTGGAGGGGCCATTGGCCTGATCCAACACTGGCTTCTCTGATGTTCTTATGTTTACTCGGGATCTAAAGTTCACAACGATGCACGTGATGCTGCCTTAGACTGACTCACACCAGTGGTCAGTGCTGTTCATTGGCCATCACACCACCACCGTCAGTCCTGCCTTCTCAGACTGACCGTGGCTCTCCAGGTCCCCAGAAGGAGGGCCCCCCATAGCAGCCTTGGGCGGTCATGAGACGCAGCACACGGGCCTTCTGCTCTGACCATCTGCTTCATTTCTGCTGCTCCCGCTTCCTGGCCAAGCAGATCCCGCTCTCCAGCTCCTCCCCACCCCGGGCTGCATACGTCCTGGCAGCAGGCTCCATCCCACCAGCGGCAACGTGCCGTCAAATTGCAACTCACTCATGGTGACCCTTCATGGGGCTTTCAAGGCAGGAGAGGAAGGGAGGTCGTTGGCCATTGCCTGCCTCTGCGTAGCCGCCGTGGACCTCCTCCTTGGTGCCCATCCCCCAAGTATGAAGCAGGAGGCAGCCAGGCTTAGCTTCTGAGATCTGGCAAGACTGGGACAGCCTGGCCCATTCCAGGCCAGGGTGGTTTCTTGACTTGGTGGAGGAAAGCGCTGTCAAGTTGCAACTGGCTTACGGCCACCCGGTAAGATGTCCGAAGGAGTTCCGGAGGTGGCTTTGCCCTCGCCTGCCCCTGCGCGGCAACCCTGGACTTCCTTGGTGGTCTCCCATCCAAGTACTAACCAGGTCTGACCCTGCTTACCTTCTGAAGTGTGACGAGATCGGGCCAGCCTTGAAAACCCCACAAGGTTTTCAAGGCACGAGGCGTTTTGAGGTGGTTCGCCACGGCCTGCCTCTGCGTAGCAACCCAGGACTTCCTTGGAGGTCTCCCACCCAAGGGCTAACCAGAGCTGACCCTGCTTGGCTTCTGAGATCTGACGAGATCAGATTAGCTGGGGCCATCCAGGTTTAGTCAAAAGATACACCTCGAAAATGAGGGGAAGAAACTGAACCAACCGAGCAAAAACCTCCAAAGGAAGCTTATAGAGGGCCAAAAACAAAAAAACATAAGTACGGGCAAGGGAGTGATTATTTCAAAGGCATATAAGAACCTTGTAGGGACCCAAGTAAAGCCTCATAAAATGTTAAAAGGGACAAACGCACAAAAAAGAACAGTGTATGACCTGACGCGTTTCGGCTCAAAAGAGCGTTCTTCAGCGGTCAAATAGTACAACGTATAAAATACGGCAAGCAACAAAGTCCCTGTAACACATGTCAGGCAATAAGCAATTGATAGTATAGGACTATTAATAGTATAGGACCAAAAATAACAATGAATAGTATAGGACCAAAAATGGAATGTTCCAATATGGAATTGAATGACGCACCAAATGATTTCTGTTTGGGGCCACAAATGTATCTGGCCTGGTCTCAGAAGTAGCTGCATATACCGGGAACGATATCGGTACATATAGGTCCTAAGAGTGCAAGTAAAACTGCCTCATCAGGGACAATGTGACATCCATACGTTTTCTAGACTTCCTTTGGGAGGGATTATTGTTGTTTGTGGTTGGCCACGGCCTGCCTCTGTGTAGCCACCCTGGGGCTTCCTCGGTGGTCTCCCATCCAAGTCCTAACCAGGGCAGACCCTGCTTGGCTTCCGAGATCTGATGAGACCGCCCGGGTCAGGGCAAAGGGTTGCTGGGCCCTATCGGGGAGCTGACCGAAGAGCCCTCCCTGGACCGCAACAGGCCTTTCCTTGGGACGCCTCCTTCCCCTCCGAAAGGGGAGGGCTCGAGGACCCTCACCTTGATGTCGTAGTGGCGATGACGGTGGCGCCCCAGCATGGCCAGGATCTCCTCCAGGTAGTACTCCTTGACGGGGTACATGAAGCCCGGCACCTTGACCACGGGGCAGTCCCCAAAGTACTGGGAGAAGCGCTGGTTGTCCCCCGTGGCGCTCATCAGCACCAGGCGGAGGCCCGGGTTCTGCTTCTGGACGCCCTTCAGCAGGATGAGGAGGAAGTCGGTGTTGACGTCGCGCTCGTGCACCTCGTCCACGATGACGTGGCTGACGCCCTCCAGGCGGGGGTTGCCTTGCAGCTTCCGCAGGAGGATCCCCACGGTGCAGAAGAGCAGGGCTCCCCCCCGCACCGGCGGCTTGCTCTCCAGCCGCACCTGGTAGCCCACGTTCTTCCGCAGGTTCGGCCCCAGCTCCTGGGCCACGCGCTGAGCCACGGAGATGGCGCTGATCCGCCGGGGCTGCGTGATGACCATGTTGCACTGGGCCCCGCGCCCTTCCAGGACGGCGTGCTCCAGGATCAGCTGGGGGATGCGGGTGGTCTTCCCGCACCCCGTGTCCCCGGCTATCACCACCACCGGGTTCTGCTCCACGGCGGAGAGGATCGTCTCCCGGTGGGAATCCACGGGCAGGGAGTGGCTCTCCTGCCACCCGGAGCCCCTCCGCTTCCACAGGGAGAGGAGATTCTGGCTGAGGCGCACCTCCTCCGACTCCAGCATGGGAGTGTAGGACTTGCCCGTGATGGCGTCGCTCAGGCTGCCCGTCTCCTTGCTCAGGTTCATCATGTCGTCGGCAAGCCGGGGTCTGGAGTCCCGGCTGTCTACGGGGTACTGAGAGGGAAAGGAAGAGGGAGCCGGTCAAGCCAGGTGAGAAGCTGTTTCAGGTGCTCTGATCTTTCACCGAGGGCACGGATCCCCAACGTGGCGCCCAACAGTGGGTGGGGCTCTTACCTAGCAGCAGGGCTATTTTGGGGCAGGAACGCACAGGAACAGAGTTCCGGCTGGCTCCTGAGTTGGCCACGCCCAGCAGGAACTCATTAGCATAATAGGCCACACCTAACAGCAGAAACTCATTAGGATTGGCTACATTAGGGGTATGTGGCCTAACATGCAAAGGAGTTCCTGCTACAAAAAAAGGCCCTGGGTTTGGACAACAAAGAAGGTAAACAGAATAAGAAGCAAAAGGTGGGTGTGGCTGGATGACCACACTTCTGGCAACATGGGGGTATGGCCTAATATGCTAATGAGATGTGCTGTCACAGGTGTGGCCTAATATGCTAACGAGTTTCTGCAGTTGGGTGTGGCCTATTATGCTAATGAGTTCCTGCTGGGCTTTTTCTACAAAAAAAGCCCTGCCTAGCAGGACTGCTGATTGGCTACGTAGCTTAAAACAACTTTGCTTCCCTGGCAGCTGCCATCTCAGTGCTTGTTTTAGTCTCTCTCACCCCTCTTCCCAAACGTATTTTTTAATCGCCCCTCTTCTCGCCTGCACTTGGGCCTTCTCATACATCATCATCATTATCTGGGTTTCTGAATTACCCAACCCCGCAAGCGGACGCTGGGCGCTTTACAGCATTAAAACAGATAAAATATAATCAAAATGATAAAATTATTACAATGCACTAATAAAACAACCAATGCAGATGGTGATTGTCATAATCTGGGCAAGCAAGGCCTAGTAGGCCCAGGGAGCCTGAGTGGCAGTGGGAGGAGGCCTGGCCTACAACTCCCAGAAGCCCCTCAGAGGTTTGGCGCCTATTTTAGCCAATCACAGGGAAAGGGGACTTATAATAAAAGAGCAAGGGAAACCTTTACCTTTAAATGAAGTTCCGGGCATCAAGCAACTCACTGGCCAAGCGGCTTCTTCCTGGTTGGCCACATTTCTCCAAGAGGGCTGAGGGGGAGTGTCATGATCTGGGCTGTGCAACGAGAGGCCTAGGAGGCCCAGGGAGCCTGAGTGGCCGTGGGAGGAGGCAAGGCCTACAACTCCCAGAAGCGCCCGAGAGGCTTTGGTGCCAATTTTAGCCCATCACAGAGAAAGGGGACTTAGAACAAAAGAGCTGGTACAGAAGAGGAGCTGTCCTTTTCTTCCAAGAGGGCAGGGCCAGAGGGAAGGCTGCTGCAGGGAAGAGACCCTCCTCCCGAGAGGAAGGGTGAGCAGACTCAGGCCCACTTGAGACAGTGAGCTGGGGACTGGGAGTCTAGTCGCGTTAGGGCATCTGGTCTCTTTTCTTTTCACCCCCTTACTGATATTGTTCTTGCACCTTGTCTGTTTTCCCATATCGGGCCGACCTCCTGTAAAAGTAAACCTTTTCCTTGTTGTTCACTCTGCCTGGTCCTCACGCCTATTATTCGGCCAAACAAGGGAGGTCTGAAGGTCTTGGGAGGGTCAACTGGGCCTTCTCAAGGGATCCTAGAACCAGAGTGGTGGCAGCGTCAGGGGACGCCCCACCTGAGCCGTGGCCCCTTTTTTGTCAGCTGCTTTGCTCTCTGCACAGCAGGGCAGGGAAGGGGAAAAGCCTGGCAGAACATCTCTGCCTCAAGGGCCTCCTGCAGCAGCCTTTCTGTGGTTGGCTCTGCCCTCTGCGGAGGCCATTTCGTGGTTGCGCCCACCACCCTGTGCCAGAATTCCAAAAGTGCCCACAGGCTTGAGAAGGCCGGGGGCCCCGGACTCAGGGGTTCTGCACTTCAGGAAAGCTCTCGTTCCCAGGGTTCCCTGAGACGAGCTGTGACCAGTGTTCCCTCTAAGCTGAGTTAGTGTGAGCCAGCTCACAGTTTTTTAGCCTCCTGTTCATACATTTTTGCCTTAGCTCAGGAAGGATGGCTCCAGAGCAAACTAATTTATGCAGCAGCCAAATCACCTGCTCACAACTTTAATGCTGGTAGCTCACAAAGTAGAATTTTTGCTCACAGGACTCCACAGCTCAGAGGGAGCGCTGGCTCTGACAGGCTTCCCATTTCTAATACTGACTGGGGGCGACGGAGAGGGCCTTGTCTGATATCAGGGGATGTCACCAGTGTTCCCTCTAAGCTGGGTGTGAGCTGGCTCACACTTTTTTAAGCCTCTGGCTCACACATTTTTGTCTTAGCTCAGGAAGGATGGCCCCAGAGCCAACCAACTTATGCAGCAGCCAAATCACTCGCTCACAACTTTTAATGTCAGCAGTTCACAAAGTAGAATTTTCCCTCACAAGACTCCACAGCTTAGAGGGAGCACTGGACCTCACCGACTGGTGCATCACCTTACGTAGACTGGGATCTGTTTCCTTGTTCCATCTGTCTACTCCTCATTCACCCAAAGCCTCATGTCCAACATGAGACCTGGGTTCAAGTCTTAGAACAGCTATGAGAGCTTACTTGTGGCCTTGGGCTACCCACTGTCTTGACCTCAGGGGAATACCTGGCCAGTTGGACATAAGTTGTTTTTGATGTTTGTTTTATTACATTCTTCATATTGTTCTTGCGGTGTTGTTACCTGACTTGGGACCCAGGATGCTCGAGATACAGAGAACAGCTCTGAAAGAACTTGTAACTGACCCAAGGTCACACCAGCAGCTGCATGTGGAGGAGTGGAAAAATACAACCTGGTTGTCCCAGATTAGAGTCCGCGCTCCTAACCACTACACCAAACTGGCTCTGGTGGAGAAAGAGACAGGCTAGACACCTGTCTTTGCCAAGTACGAATCAACATAAAATGCTCCCCTCCCTCCTCTTACGTGATTCAGGTAGTTCTCGATCTTGTGCAGTGTGGCCTCGGGGACTTTGATGTGGCAGGGCTTCCTCTGGTTTTCTCCCAGCTCCCGGAGGGAGGTCATGTTGTACATGGCGTGGCTCAGGGGGTTGTTGTTCTTGTCTACCAAGCCGAGGCTCTGCGAGGGAGCAAGTCAAAGTACAGAAGGGGTTCAGAAAGGCAGGGGGGGCGGGGCGGGTTGAGAGGGCGGGGGAAGGCCCAACGGGGCATACCAC